CCCCACGGGACGCCCCACGAGTGCGAGAGAGACAGGACGACGACGGCACTGTTCGGAACGAGCCTGCGCGCCATAGAGGCTTCCACAGTCCTTCGGAAGACCGATTCCGCGAGTCGTTTTCGTCGCTCTTTCTCTCTCGCACTTACACAGGGCGCCCCATGAGTGCGAGAGAGACAGAGCGACGAGAACGACTCTCCGAATCAGTCCCTCAGGGCGGCCAACAGTGGCGCAAGCAACGGGAAACCTTTCCACGCACTGCCATGCCAAGAGCGGACTCGAGGGTGGCGAGACAGCCGCTGGAATAATCGAACAAAAAAGAAACAAAATTACTCGGAATACTACAACGATTGGTCATTCCCTGATTGGGGCGGGGGTGCGAGCGTAAACAAACGAAGGCGCACCTATGGAATGTCGCACGTCACGATTCCGTTTTATCCAAACTTAAACAAAAACACCGAATGGAAAGGTTGGGCACAGGCGCAAAACGAGGGTCCTAAGCTTCAGACTCAGTATCCTAGGCTCCACCAATAGTTTCCTGCAGTGCAGCGTCCCTCGGCACCCGTTCAGGGTATAGACTCAGAAAAGGTTTCTCTCTATTTTTCTTACCTTGTTTTTTCTTCCTTTTTTAAAAAATCTTGATTTGAGAAAAAAAGGGATTGGGTAGAAAAAAAATATTTAAAAAACAGTTTTATTTTTTCTTGATATTAGAAGTCATTTTTTTTTCGTGTAGACCGCCAGCCCCACGGCGGCCTCCTGGCGGTGATGGCCCGGGCCCGGCTCGTCACCTCTGACCGGCTATCTCAGCGACCTGCCGTCTGGGACGGTCTGGGACGGTCTGGGCCGGTCTGGGACGGTCCGGGACGCCAGACGACACACTAGCCAGAGGTGCTGCAGTCGTGCTTATCACGGCAACGCATCGTGAACAGCGCATGAACATGCATCTCGAGGAGGGACCACGCCGCGCCGCCCACCGCCCACCTGGCGCACTTCGCACTGCAGTACACTGATTCCGAGAGTCGCCTTCGTCGCTCTGTCTCCCTCGCACCCAGACGGGACGCCTTATGAGTGCGAGAGAGACAGAGCGACGCGAACGACTCGCGGAATGAGTGAGATGGGCCGCTGCGCGGCGCGGAGTGCGTTAACTCGTTAGCGGGCGCGCTGGCGTCGCGGCGCCGTGCCGCTCACCGATGCAAATGTGCAAACGTCTGGTTCTGCATGCGGCATGCACTCGCCCGCGCCGCGCCCGCGCGAGGTGCTGCCGGGTGAAGGAGAGCCTTGTCAGACCGGGGGGCCTGCAGCAGGCCGTCTCCGCGCACCGCTCTCGTCGCTCTGTCTCTCTCGCACGCATGGGGCGAGAGAGACAGCGACCAAAGCAATGCTCGCGGAATCAGCCCGCTGTAGACGACTGAATCCGAACAACAGTGCTCATTTGGCGTCGCTCTGTCCCTCTCTCTCGCACTCGCGGGGCGCCCCGCGTGGGTGCGGGAGAGAGGGCGACGGAACCGCTCTTCGGAATCGGTCGCCTGCTGCTGGCTGGAGCTCTCGGCTTTTGCGAAGTCATACATCATGACCGTCATGAGCGCTGCCAGCGCTGCCAACGAACGACAAGCAGCAGGAGGAGGAGAACGAGTCCGACGCCGGCCTGCAGACTCATTCCGAGAGTCGTTCTCGTCGCTCTGTCTCCCTCGCACCTACACGGCACGCCCCTTGGGTGCGAGTGGGACAGCGTGACGAGAACGACTCTCGGAATCAGTCTGCCGCCCAAGTGGCGGCGTTGCCCATGCGTTGCCCCGGCGTTGCCGTGCCGCGGACCCCGGCGAAAAGGTCCCCGCCGACGCGGTGCCGGCGCGGTGCCGGCGCGGTGCTGCAGCGACGACCGCGGAGGCCCGACTACACCAACACTGCACTGCTGGCGTGGCCGGCGCGCCGTCGTCGTCGAGGGAAGTCCGCCAAGACCTTTTAGGCTGATACCGAACGGCGCTTTCGTCGCTCTGTCTCTCTCGCTCGCACAGCCCCCTGAGTGCGAGAGAGATAGCGCGGCGAAAGCGCCGTTGTTCGGAGTCGCACTACAGGCGCCGCCGGGGTGTGTGATTGGGAAGCCCCCCAGTGCATCCGGCGCTGTCTCTCGCGACCCCTGCGGGACGCCCCGCGAGTGCGAGAGAGACGGCACGACGAGAGCGCTGGACCGCGCCGAGGGGCTGGAGTCTGGAGGCTGAGCTTGACGACGAGCGACAAGTCTATTCCGGACTCGAGTCCCCGCAGGACTAACCGGGGCCTCAATTTAGCATTCTCTGATTGATTCAATTGCTGCGCCAGCTGCTGCTGTCAGGTTCCCCGCACACTGTGGACATGGACATGCACGGCAGACTGATTCCGAGAGTCGTTTTCGCCGCTCTGTCTCTCTCGCGCTCGTGGGGCGTCCCGTACAGGTGCGAAAGAGACAGAGCGACGAAACCGACTCTCGGAATCAGTTTGCAGGCGGCGCAGGCCGCAGAGGTCATCTGCACGGGCGTCAGCCATGCCTCTTCCTCCTCGTTCCCACCAAGCCCAACCGCTATAGCGCCATAGTCGGACTAACTCGTGCGCAGAGCACCTATTTCGAGGATACGGACCGGCTCGCCGGTCTAAGCGCCTGCGAAGTGACGGGTAGGCAACACTGCGAGGCACGACACGGGCGTGGAGCGGCGTGCCTACCCTCGCTGTCGCAGGCGGCGACGACGTCTAGTACCTCCATCACCACCTCGATCATCGTCGGGCAACAACATCCCCCATCTTTTTTTCTTCTTCTTCCGCGACGCGCGTCGGCGGCGTAGGACCTGGCCACGGCGATGAAAACAAACACAGGAACCGCGCCTTATCGTCACGATATCGAGGCTTCGACGACGCGCCGCCACCGGCCTCCACCACGTGTCCGCCGGGCCGCGGTACACGGCCAAAGGCACGCCGACGACGCCACATCACCAGACTGATTTCGGGAGTCGTTTTCGTCGCCCTGACTCTCTCGCACTCATGGGGTGTCCCGTAAGGGTGCGAGAGAGACAGGGCGACGAAAGCTCCAACAAGGAGGGGGTTTCTGCGTCGAGGCGCGATTCGTTCCGGGCGGCCAGTGCCAGTGTCGCGTGATTGCACCGGGCGCACCGAATCAAGTTGATCGCCTGGAGGAAGTCCCACGCGAGGCTGCTGCAGGGTCTTTGTCACTCTGTCTCTCTCGCTCGCATGGGGCGTCCCGCTGGGTGCGAGAGAGACAGCGACGAAGCCCTGTGCGGAATCGGTGTGCTGGGTGCCCTCTTCCGGGCTGCCGCTGTCGCGAATAAAAAGAATAATTTGCACGCGCCGAAGCGAGCTTGTTTTCGTGGCTCGGCGGGCCTGCACGGGGCCGGTGCGCAGCGCAGCACAATACGCCGGCTGCGCGGAGGAGAAGGAGGAGAAGGAGACGGCGATGACGAACGAGACCAAAACATCAAAACGCGGAGAGCGGGATGAAAGGCACGCGAAGCGCGAAGCCGCGTTGGAAAAGGAAAGTCCGAGAGGCGTTGTCACCGCTGCAGGCTGATTCCGAATGTTTTTTGTCGCTCCGTCTCTCTCGCACTCATGAGGCGTCCCGTATCAGGGCAAGAAAGACAGAGCTGCCCTCGGGATGAGTGCGCTGGAAGCGCTGCTTGCTGCGCGACCCACGCGGCTTTCGGTGGCGTTCCCTCTCTCCGCGCACCACCTCCACGCGGACCCCTCCCCCTTCCCCTCGTCGCGGCCGCGACAGTACACTGGGAGCCGTTTTCGTCGGCCTGTCTCTCTCGCACCCTTACGTGACGCCGCGTGAGTGCGAGAGGGACAGAGAGAGACCTCCCCTCGGAATCGGTCCGCAGCGAACGGCCCGCAAAGCGGACGGCGATAAACAAGCCTAGGCCCGAGGGGCCCGAGGGGCCCGAGCCGGGCCGGACCGGGCCGGGCGCCGCACCGCCTCAGTGCCAGTGCCTCAGACGGACGCGGACCGCGCGACGCGACGCGCACCGGCACTGCCGAGCCCCTACTTGCTGCCTTCCATCTTCGATCCGAGTCACACCAAGTCACACCAGACCACCGTGCGGCCGTTCAGCCTGGTCCAGTGAGCGGAGCAGAAGCAGAAGCAGGCGCGTAGAAGCTTTCCCCGAGTGCTGCTTGAGCTGCTCGGGGTTCTTGGGCTGCTGCGGCGTCCACGGAGCGAGCTCTCTTCCCGGCCTGGGACTTCCCTCGCCGGCCCGCTCCCCGCGCGGCCGTCAAGCCTCATCGGCCTGCTTCTTAAAGGAAGGTGAGAAGAGAAGGGAGAAGCCATTTAGAAGATCGGTTTGTGGCTCTGTCTCTCTCGCACGCTTACGGAGAGCCCCGTGAGTGCGACAGAGACAGAGCGAAGTCTCATTTGGCTGGTTCGTCCGATGCCTCCGTACTACACTTGCACACACGCACGGTTCACTTTCAAGTCCGTTTCTTGCGGGTTTTGGAACGAAATTCAGGCCGCGTGACCTTTCCCTTTCCCGCCTTTTTTTCAAAACGCCGCGCGCTCTGTGCCACTGTTGACGAGGGCCGGGAATGCAAAAGCAGGAGGGCGCAGACAAGTTGTGCGGTGAAGGTTATTTCACGTTTCTCTGATGCCAAAAATGGGTTTCAAGTTCACTGTTTCTTAGATAATTTACGCGAGTCGCGTTATCCAAGGTTTCATCTTCGTTTCAAACTCTCACTCTATATTTTTCATTGTTTCCCGGATAGTGACACCTGAAAAATACGTTGTCGTCACCGGGTGTGTCTTCTGCTTGTGTCTGCTAGTTTCTGCTTCTGCTAGTTTGTCACGTTCGGAAGTTGTCAGTCGATGACATCAAATCCTATTTTCGTAGTGATTGAATTGTGTTTCTATTGCTTCAGTGAACTCCCTCCTTTATTGGGTATCTTGGCTCTATGTAAGCAAAGTTTCTTTCTAATTGCAGGTCTGCAAGGGGCATAAAAGTCACTTTTGTGATTCCTGAGTAGTCATGGCGTTACACATCCAAAGTCGAAACTTGAAGGGGCTTGGACGCTTCCTGCTCAATTCCAGTAAATTGTCTTACACCAGGATTTGCTCATATTATCATCAGCAACAAATTTTGAAACAAGTTGAAGACAATGACATCAACCCTAACCTCTCCCCTCTGGAGGCACTTCATGAAAAGGTATTATTACTCAACAGCTTAACGAAATACTTTGACACTCTAGTGGGCAACTCTTTTTGTTCTTGTGTGTGCAGTTGATAATTTTTTTCTTTTTTAAAATTTCTTGTGCAGGTCATGCGAGGCGAACTTGACCATGATGACCACCAAACGAAGGTCATGCAATCCTTAGAAAACGTCTACAATGACATTAAAAACTATCAACCAGCTGAATCTTCAGTGTTTGACAGATGGTTTGGGAAAGAGAAGAAAGTGCTGGCTCCCAAAGGCCTTTACTTGTATGGTGCTGTTGGTGGAGGCAAGACTATGCTCATGGATGTTTTCTATGGTTGCTGTCAAGTGAGTCAAGTTAAACTTCTGTGCTCTCATGGGCACACTTCTAGAAAAATCATGGAATATTTAACGATTTTATTATCACCCTATTTTGTTACAGATTGATGGAAAGCGACGAGTGCACTTTAATGCTTTCATGCAAGATGTGCATGCCCGCATTCATGATGTGAAGAAGCATGTTGTGCGCGACCACTCAAGCACAAAGCCTCAGCCATTTGATCCTATTCGACCTGTCGCACGATCGATTTCGAACCAGTCATGGCTTATTTGTTTTGATGAGTTCCAGGTATACACTTTTGCTTTATTTATGATTCCTATTTTTCTGAATTCCTGATTTTCTGAATGTAACACCCTTACTTCCTCTTATTTTTTGTGGGGATCTAGGTCACAGACATTGGTGATGCCATGATTCTGAAACGTCTCTTTACGGAACTTTTCAACAACGGTGTGATTGTGGTGGCTACCAGCAACAGAGCTCCTGATGATCTTTACAAGAATGGCTTGCAACGTTCAAATTTTGTTCCATTTATCCAGGTCCTAAAGGACCACTGCAATGTTTTAAGCTTAACTTCAGGCATTGACTACAGGCTAAAATCTACTCCAGGAAAAGAAAAGAACTTCTTTGTGTGAGTCTGCTTTAGAGCTATTCATTCATTAATATCAATGTGGTGACAACTTAAAATTATTGTTTATTTCTAACCATCTACAGAAAAACTGAATGCAATGCCAATGCTGAGATGGACAACATTTTCAAATATTTATGTTCCATGGAAAATGATATCATCCGTCCAAGAACACTAAGTATAATGGGCCGAAATGTTCAATTTAATAAAACCTGTGGACAAGTTCTGGACTGTACTTTTGCAGAATTATGTGAAAGGGTAATGTTTGTCATACCAAAGTACATAATTTCATTGAAGAATTTCATGTTTAAAAAATTCTTATTAATGGACTTTGTTTTTCAGGCTCTTGGTGCTAGTGACTACTTGCAGCTCTCTCAGGCATTCCATACAATCTTCATTCGTGACATCCCTCAACTCAGTTTGAAAAAAAAATCTGAAGCTCGGAGATTTATCATGCTGATTGATACACTCTATGACCACAGAGTAAGTGTAGTGCGCAACTCTGATTCTTACTGTATGGACCTATAGTCTTTTTCAACCTCGTACTTTTTCTTTTAGGTGCGCATTGTTGTGAGTTCAGATGCCCCCTTGAAATCGATGTTTGTATCTGATGCTTCAAGTGATGTAGATGATGAGTCCCGACTTCTCATGGATGACTTGGGAATTTCCAAAGGATCTGTAAGTCTTCACCTCATTTTCCCCTAGGTTTTCTTTCACGCATGTATGTTTTAACATTTTTGCACTTGTTCTAGGAAAATGCTTCTGCCAACATTTTCACTGGTCATGAAGAAATGTTTGCATTTGACAGGACAATTTCCCGTTTAAGCGAAATGCAGTCAGCAGAGTACTGGGAAATGTGGGAGAAACAACGATAAACAGAGTTGGTTGTTTTAAAATAAAATATTTCTACATCAGCATAGTATTAACTCCCTGTTATTGTTTTATAGACCCTAACTTTGTATATATGTCTTGTACAAAGAAATCTGTGATCTAGATAGGCATTGTATAATTATTGTTCCATTGTCCTCTGAACTATGTAAACATGTTTGTGTTTTAGGTTAACTTGATGAGCTAATGTCAGATTACCATCAAGTCCACTATTTTAATTATTTGTTTTTAAATCTTTACACTATTGCAATTAACATGGCTATGGCAAATTTTTGTACCATATGTGCAGTTAAATTGAGTAGTTGTCCTCTGATTAACAATAAAAGTTCCAAGGAAAAATAGTGACTAACACTTTCCTCCATGCAACCAAGAAAGAACTAAGCAAATTGAGTCAAGTTGGACTCCTTTTTTGTTTGCTTTAAAAATGAATAAAGATACTGTAAATAATTTTCTACAAATGTTGTTTTGATATCTGTGATACTCCTTGAACACATTGCCGGTTTCAGTTCCTCATTGAGAGAAAATGACCCAAAGGGATGGGGATATTTAGCACAATAAAGTTTTTCTTGTTTTAGTTATTTTAATTTAAGTCAATATTTCATTTCAAAACATATGTTTACAATTCTTTGTATCATCACTTCTTCTTATCATAGTTTGTGAAAAAAACGCTGAGGATCAGATTTATGCAAAACATTTCAATGACTGTAAAATTAAGTTATCAGTGCACGCTCATGCATGTTTATGTATAAATTAAAATACATACACACATACATACATGGATATCACTGTATCCACATACACACAAATATGTATATAATCAGTCAGTATCTGAGGCACAAACATCATCTTTACGTGATCTCCATTTTTCACATATATGACATTAAAGGGATGAATTGTCTACTCTACAGTATCTAATGATGAATACAAAAAGAAAAAAAAAGAAAAAAAAATGGTTTGTCCCCTACTCAGCAAGACAAGATGACAGAGGAAGTACAAATCAGCTAGACCACCACCTTAATTAACTATAGCATTTTAGGCTATTATTCATACATATAAACAATATAAATTACAATTAAAACGGAACTGGAGAGCTTGAGCTAACACTGGATTGTACATGGTACTACATTGCCCTGACTCGTATTTACATGGCACTTGATTTTATGTACACACTTGCATACTTGATCACATACACACAAAAACAATGATTTCATACCAAATATAAAAGAAAACAGGGAGAACAGATGATTTAAAACAATCTGACCAATGGTAACACAAGGTAATCAAAGTGAAGTGAAATAGGGTATGCTAATCAACTGAAAATAACAATCAACATAAACATAGGTAATGGGTGGCTTGATGAACTGTTCTGCTTATTCTACTCTCAAAAGGACTTAAGTGCAACTATCATTCTAGAAAATGTCACATACAAGAATTAATTGTACAAAGAAAAATAAAATCTTTATAAAATAGGGCAATTGCTCTGCCTTAAAGGTTCGTAAGGACCTCGCAAAATTCAATAAACATGAACATAAAAAAAATTCCCTTAATGTCTAAGATTTTTCATCCCAATCCCTTAAAAAAATGTTACGAGGACAGGAGAATATTGCCAGGCACAGAATTATTACCAGCAAGAACAGATCATCAAGACAGTGACAATAAAAGTATTTTCATTAAAACAGTAATTCACAGGAAAGAAAAGTCACTTCAAATGATAAACATCAAAGAGCATCTACAATCATTACATAAGAAGGCCCCCCCCTACTCCCCATAATTCAAAGGACAATATCTGTTTGTTCTAAATGCTCAGTTTGAGGACCTGCCTCACTGATTTGCTTGCTTCCAATGTATTATGTCTGCAATTCAATCTTAGTCTAACCTATTCTATGTTACAGTTTGCCTATATCCTCCTAGATCTCGGCAAGGAGATTCAAAACAGCATTAATTTATTTAATAGAAGTGTAAAAATGTAAATGTGTCACAGGTTCGATGCAACAGTTCAGCACACTTCACTTATAAGTGAGTGTTCAATCTCACACAAATTGCAGTAAATACTTTGCAATACTTGGATAAATATTAAATACAACCACAATTAGGTATGTACAAACTGGAAGAGAGCATGATACAAAACTTTAATCTCTCACACAACAACATTCAACACACCATAAACATACATTCTTTACATTCTTCACATTCTTTCTACACTTTCACCCCAATGAGAGACAAGCCATTTATGCTAAACAGTGATGGATCCCATCCCCCAGCACATGTAGGCATCAGACAGCCACACATCCACAGGCCCATGTCGTGTGATGTTTGGTTAGGAGTGCTTTGACTAGAAGCCCAACGACATGCTGGATAGATGACTGACAGAGCCAGAAAACTAAACCAAACATTAACAGAGTTTTTTGTTGATATTTTATCATATTATCAACAAATCTTATGTTAAAATGTCCGTAAAATATGATCGTAAATCAAAACAAAGTATAAATTGGTTGATAAATCTTTTTGAAGGAAACAAATAACTGGGAAGTTCTGTACATACTGTACAAAAATATACATGATAGGTATGGCGAGCATGTCTAGCAGGGGGAGGATTTCATCATGAGATCACACGCCGGGCTGATTTTGCCTGGCCACTACCAAGCTACCTATTCCACAACTAACTTCCTGCATGCATAAAATTTCCTTTTGGAAAAATGTTACATTTAAAGCCCCCTCTCCAAGTTGACAAAACTTGGTGAAATATCATTGTACGTATTTACAAATTACTTTAAGAAAGTCAACAGCAGGTCACTTATGAGAGCACTGAAATAATGGCCAACATGACATTAAACAGCTCACTATTCATGGGTCGTTGGGGCTTGTGCTTGGGCAGGCTGAGGCTGCGCAAGGGCCTGAGGCTGAGGTTGTGCTTGTGTCTGTGCCTGAGTTTGAGTTTGTGCTGGGTGAGCCTGGGACTGCCCAGGTTGCTGAGACTGCTCAGCTTGCTCCCCTTCTACACCATCTGGACGAACACCCGCTACTAATCCTGGAGCCCGCCACAAGGGTTCAGGTGGAGGGAATCCCGGAGGCCTGCAAAGGGAATAAAAATGTACATTTAGTACAACATTTCATACCAAGGGTAGTTTCGACATATCTTGGACAACAGTAAACACAAACTTACCGGAATGGCCTGTCTGCAGCCGTGGTTCCTTTATTGTGTGAACGTTGATGGAAAAGAAGATTTCCCTTAAGAGGGAACGACTTCCCACATTCTCCACAGACGAAAGGCCGCTCCCCTGTGTGGCAACGCATATGATTGATGAGATGCTCTTTACGAGTGAAGGGTTTGGAGCAGACATGGCAGCAATGAGGAGTCTCTCCTGTATGCTGCCGAAGATGGTTCGTCAAATGCTCCTTTCTTGTGAAGGTCTTGGCGCAGAACTCACATCGATGGGGTGATTCGCCTGTGTGGATCCGCACGTGGTTAGTCAGGTGCTCCTTGCGAGTGAACGACTTGGAGCAAAACTGACAGCGGTGCGGAGACTCACCAGTGTGTTGACGGACATGATTATTTAGGTGTTCTTTTCTAGTAAATGCCTTTGTGCAATACCTGAAAAACATCATAAGAATAAATTAATTCAAGAACAAGGAATCCTAGCACTGAAAACTATAGTTTGCTTCAGGCAGGATTTTGTTATGATTGGTCAATGGGACAATTCCTGCTTTTGAAGATAAATAAAAAAAAAGAGCAATTTGGGATCTGGGTAACAAGAGAACCTATTTAGTCTGGTTCAACACATTTTTAAAAAGGCCAAATGGCCAATAATGTATCAAATGTTTGTCAAATTTTAGTTTGAATTTTTCCTTCTGTTTAATGTGTGTCTCACACACATGGTTCAAAAGTGACAAATTAAGACATTAATAGGGGAAAAAATTTCACCCAGCTCTACCTACAGAATAAAGAAATAAAGTGAATGAAATCTGTGCTTCACTGGAAACAGTACTGAGATGGAGTTTGGCCACAACACAGGACTTGTGAAAATCAGTTTTCTTGATAGTCACTAAATATGTGCCCAAACCCCATCTCGAATGCAACCACCACATGATCTGACAAGTGACCCCAGAGAGGAAAAGTTTGTTACATAAAATGGACCCAAGATAGATGATTAGTGATGGGGAACTCCGAAACTATTCAATTAACACTTCCAAGAGCTGTTCACAAGTGTGCAGCAGATAAATTCCTTTCATATCTGAGAGCTGCAGACTAAAAGATAATTTCAAAGTACATTAAGCCAGCACCGTATTCAAATCACACCACACCGTAGCCTAGAAACCCGATACAGTTCACAAGTCTGATACCGCGCTTTTGTTCCTTCTGGCACAAAAACTTCAGTCCTGACACAAAAATATCCAAAAGCCACATGGGAAAGAAATTATAATGTCAGTGACTATTCATGCCTGAAGCAAACTGCAATTTTAGTGCTTTTGAGGTGAGTATCTTCCGAGCAGCTGAAGTGGTGCTTTAAGATTAACATCTTCATAGCAGCAAAATTAAGATTTAAAAAATCCTATAGCAAAAGAATCTACACCAAGAGAAAAACATGAAGATGGCTACATTACTACTGTAACAAAGGGAAATGAACTCAGAAAGCAATGAATGCAGCAAAGAAATGACCACAGAAGCATGCCAATTTCCAAAATACACCATAACATTCTGATGCACATTACCTCACGTTACATTATAATTCTTCTTAACCCTAACCTATGAAGCATGTTTATTGAAAATTATTTTCTTTGTTTATCTTTCATTATCAGTTTTTTTTTAAAGAAAAAAATACATGATTTAAGGTCTACATAAAGCACATAAAAATAATAGAAGTATCAGCTAACGAACTGAAACTAAACTACTCTCAAATAAACATAGCAAATACTTCAGAGACACCTTGAACATATGGTTGATTTTAGTGTTTGTTTTAACAATTCTGCTTACTAACAAGACTAAAAGAAGTGTCAGCACGAACTAACCACAGATTGGCAAACTAAAACAACTAGAACTGAATGCCCCAAACTCGGCAAATAAAAATTTGAATCAAAAACCATTTACAGTCTCTGAAGTAAGTGTATAATTTGAAGGAAAAAAGTTCTTCATCTTTAATCATTGAAGATAATTTAGGTATTAAAGCATAACAGAAGTGGCCAAAGAAAAATGCGCGCGCACACAATAAAATAACAACACATCAATTTAGAGAAAACCACAACTTATAACTATTGAAGTATTCAACAATTAATTTACATATGACCAGCATTACCAGCAAACATGTTGCAAGACCTCTTTTTTCCCCCAATGATTACTGCAATATTGGTTGGAGTGGCAGCAACAGTGCCCCAGCTTTTCAAAGAAGAAAATCCACAGAAACTTACAAAACCCTAACATAAGCCCAACTATAGGAGAACAAGTAGCATTTTAAGATTTGATCACAACCTATGATAAATGGACCATGTAAATTGATTGTATGGTAAAACTTATAGATTCCACCTAGATATAAATCACATGCTTGCAAGTTAGGCTGCCCTACATGCATATATGACCTTAGACCCCAAACAAGACAGATTTCAGTAACAGGAAAAAAAACGCTGCTTTGCCTAGAACAAGTTAAGTCAAAATTAAGCACACTACTTTGGCTGGCCATGTTTCTGCTACTAGACTTAAAACGATAGCTACGATGAAGAGGGAAAGAGAAACTTGACTTGCACAAGGCAATTTTTCACTTGAACAAAGGAATCAATCATATCATTTATAAAGTATCATAAAAAATTTAGAGATCAAGGGTTTTGACAGTCAAACTCTCAAACAAAAGGGGAGAAGTTACATAATTTTATGGACGGTTGATGTCAATATAAACAAGTAAACTATCATTTAAACTAGTCTGTAGGGTTTGAGAAACAACAATCTGATATCCATTATAACATACGTTCTAGCAATGGTCATGGAGGCCACAGCTACACGTAAAGTATAATGGATGGGGAAAATGAGAAAAAGATTGCACAGAAACATATCTACATCTAGTTTTTCACAAAGCAGTGTTCCAAGTTTCCCTAATGACTGCAATACAGACTTTACGATGCTCATTTCAGTCACATAAACAAATATTCTCAGAAAAATAAAAACAATTTCTTTCATTGAAAATTACTATGGCAGAGAAGCCATAGTTCTAGGCACAGATCTTACAAAGATGAAAAATCAGCTATGCCACAAGATCATTATATTATTTTATTTACTAGGTGACTGAAAAGCAGCAAAAAAAAGAAAAGAAAAACCAGAACAAAAACTAACTGAGCCAAATGGCATCTAACGAAGTAAATGATAAAAACGATCCATGGGTCATTATGTCGGTGCAGGGAGGAGCAGGGCAGGACGTGCAGGATGCATGGGGCAGCCAGGCACTTACTTGCACTTGTGCGGAGTCTCCCCTGTGTGCTGGCGCACATGTATGACAAGGTGGTCTTTCCTGGCAAACGCCTTGGGACAGTACTGACAGCGGTACGGGGTCTCGCCCGTGTGCTTCCTCACGTGAATCACCAGGTGCTCTTTTCTCGAGAATATTTTCGGGCAGTAGCTGCACGGGTGCTCCCTAACATTGCACAAGGAAACCTCATTAAAGCCGCACTCCAGTACATTGTACCACATGGAGAATACATGGCATTGCTTCAACAAGTGATTTATCTTTTTACTTTGCTTTCAGTATGTATTTACGGTTTTAAAGAGGTTTTCCAAATGCACACTAAAAGAATACTTACAGCATGAAGTATGAAAACTTTGATGCAATGCTCTTAGTTAGTTTCAAAAGCTATTATGTGAATGTAAAAAAGAGAAAAGATGTAGACAGCTCTGCCACATTTTCCATTCTCTAATTTTTATTATTTTTTTTTTTTACAAAATCCCTACTAACAATGTTTGACAAGATAAAAATGAAGCTCATAAATATATAAGGGAAAAGGGCGGGGACAGATCACAATGTGATTGAGGATTCGTCCAACTGCTTGGGGCATGGTACTGCATCTATCCTATGCAATGCACTTGATACAGGTGCACAATAAGATAAAATGGTTCCAAAACTTTCAAGAGGAGCCTCCAATCCCCATGAGGTCTACCGAGAGACGGACTAAGACCCTACTCGCGGGCCAGAACAAGATACTAAATTTTAGTTTCATTTGACTGAGACAAGGTTACAGTCGGGTGTTGATGTGCTTGCTGAATAGATGCAACCAATAAGTTCTGATGTTTAATTATAAAAGGCTAGGGCTAGAACTCCCTTCTAAGGAAGTATAAGAGAGGAACTACCCATTATTTAGGCTGAGAGCACACCTTTCAAACTGAAGTGACTCCCATGAAACGCAACCTCACCCTGCTCCTTGCTTCAAAACTGGATGCAACTATTGGAACAGGGAAACCACAAATAGCATCCCACTCCAACATCTTTACAAAGATGTTCGATGGAGTGGTTATGCAATGCACTGCTCAGTATGGCAAATTACACAAGACTTTTTAAGATGTAGCAGAATTATACAAAAAAAAACAGGGTGGAGACAAGAGCCAACTATACCCCAGCTTCTGAACTCTCCCAACCCACCTCCCCAACCAAGATCCTCTTAGGTGGAAAGAATGCCATTGGAATTTGTTCAAAATCAGAGCCCATGACAATATACTCACACAGCAAAGAAGATATAAACCCCAAATACAAATGCAAAGCGTGAATGGCATATATGCAGAGCTTCAGCCCAGACTTAGTAAGTTGAGAAATATCATTTTCAGTACAATAACGATTCAAAAGGATTGACTTTGAAGCAATATGTAGCAATGTCCCAAAGCTTAATGACATGCAAGATAATTTCTTGAAAGTCAGCAATCAGCCCTTAGGTGCATTAACTGTACAAAGTAAAATTAGAAAGCAAAATGGTCAAAATTCAACAGGACAATATTACTGAATTCCGACAAGAGGCTGGATGCTTTAGAAAAGCTTTGGTTCAATTAAAAAGTATACTCAACTCAGGGAGCTCAAATTACAAGAGGCTAGTGCGTGGCAAGCTCAAATGCTACTTATTTACTCTTTTCATCGGAGTGTATTGAGGTAAACAAATGGTAAGTACTAATTACACAGCAAGGGAAAAGGGAAAGAAGGTTTGCACTATGGAATCAATATTAATTTTTCATGTTTTTCTTCTATTTTCCTTCTCAAAAATAAAACGCCATGCCAGAACTCTTGAGACTGAATCAGTGAGCTCTAGTTTATCTGCTTCAGGATCTTCCCACAAATTTTACATTTACTTTTTTTTTTTCAGACAATGCCAGCAAGGGTTTATAATTAGTTAACAAACTTAATGAAGCAAGGGAGCAAGGGAGGGAGGCCGAGACTATGGGCCGAGCCTATAGGCAGCCTAATGGCCTATTGCAGCCTAGTGGCAGCGATGCAACATGCTTACTGGCACTTGTGAGGAGTCTCGCCCGTATGCTGGCGAATGTGGTTCGTCAGGTGGTCCTTGCGCGCAAACGCCTTCGGGCAGTACTGACAGCGGTACGGCGTCTCTCCCGTATGCGACCGGATGTGTATCACCAGGTGCTCCTTCCGGGAGAAGGACTTGCTGCACCCAGGCTCCCTAGCGTTCAGAGGAAAGCCTCGTTAACCCGCCAACCCTCCACCTTTCCTTCGCACTCCTCTTATTGACCACCAAGACAATCCACTGATCGCAAGTAGAAACCACACCAAATTTAGGTTAAGTGGTTTATATTTGATTTTTTTAAAGATAAAAAAGCAAACCATCTTCATTGATTGCACGAGGTTGTTGACATAGAATAATGAGGTTTCCCATACAAATCTACACAAAAGTAAAGCTACTGTCCCTGCATCATGCACCACTGCCGTAATATAAGTAACAAAATTCCAAACACTCAAACCACACCACACATAAACTGTTAATTTATCTTTCCACACCTACAATAAACAGATCAAAATCATTACAGATATGTCACACGTTTAAGGAGTAAGGCTTTGATATAAACCAAAATTGACGAAATGCGCAAGTGTTTGACACACCATTTAAGTCTACAAAAGGCAATTACAAAATGCTTTCTTGAAGGATGAAGCCCAAACATGGACAGCATCATCCAAAAAAATTATATGTAAAAAAAAAAAAAAAAACAAAGCTGCACTATGCTAAGCAAAAACCCTACATATGCTCTTTCTCTCAAAGTCAGTACCAGAGCAAAGGACTATTATTTCATTTTGGTATATATGTCAGACAAAGCCCAGTCCCCATTCGAGTTATGTACAACATTGTACACACAGCAGACAAAATCTTTGGGTCCTTGCTCTCAGAATGAAAGGAAGTGTCAACCTCTCACAGAACAGCACCCATCAACTAAATTGTGCCAAAAGACGGTGGGGTTTGAGTGTCTATCCAGAGATGCCCAATATCATACATACAGCTAACCGTAAGTCACAGAACAGCTCTGTCAATGGAAGGTTATGTTAATGGCACCTTCTTCACTGCCTCTTAAATGTGGGGTGCCATGCTAACTCCAAAAGATGAACTTAATTTGCATCAATTGTTAGTTTGAATTCACCCATCACTTTGTTAATTGCAACAGAGGAAATTTACCCTCTTAAGAAATAAAACTAAGTTGAAATGCATTTATAAATGCTAATAAGGGGGAAAGGGAGGGGAAAAAAAGGGGGGAATAAGAGAGGTTGGCTATCCTTCAAAGAAAGGCCTATGTAGGAAATGACGTCGAAAAAACTTACTGGCACTTGTGCGGCGTCTCCCCCGTGTGCTGGCGGACGTGGTTCACGAGATGATCCTTTCTTGTGAAGGCCTTTGGACAGTACTGGCACCGGAATGGAGTTTCACCTGTGTGTTGACGCACATGGTTGATCAGGTGTTCTTTCCGAGTGAAAGATTTGGAGCAATATCCACAGCGATGTGGTGACTCGCCAGTGTGCTGACGAACGTGGTTCAACAGGTGTTCTTTACGTGTGAACGCTTTTGAGCAGAACTCACACCGATGGGGGGTTTCACCTGACACACACAAACGAATTTTTTAAATTGGTCAATCGTAAGGATATCCTTTACTCGCCACTAACCACACCCTCCCCACCTCTCGGGACAGAAAAGCGGGTAGACACAGACTTGCAAAGCCGGCTAAGCGTTGAGCATGCCAGGAAGCATTCAGGGAGATCTCTAAAGCCCTAGCGGCCCAGATTGCTGCTGTTCCAGGTAAGGTTTTAAATTAAAAGAGATCAGATGACATTAAGTCATGCTTAGAAGCATATGACCAAGAAGCAAAACTCTTGGTTGCTTCTCAATATAAACAAGGATTGTCCTAAATTTGGAAACAAGCATCAAAACGCTGTTTTAATGCATCTTTAATCCTCAGAATGAAATGTCAAATTACACAGGACTTTATTTCCACAGGAAAAATTTCAGGAAAACTATTTCTTTGGCAATAAAAAATTAAGACACCTGGTTTGATCACTGTAAGATGTAATCAAATTGAACCAGGTAATAAGTAATCAGAAACAAAGTCTGCAAAACTCTCTGAGAGAGAATGAAGAGACAGAAAGCCAAAGAAAGACACTTGATAAAGTCCCAATCCCTCTTGTGTTAACAAGCAGGTAGCAATGTGTGTGGCTGAGCTCGTTAGCTATGTTTACCTGTATGTAGTCGAGTGTGGATAGTAAGATGGTCCTTACGAGAGAATTTCTTGGGACAGTACTCACACTGATGCGGCGTTTCACCTATAAAGTGTACCACGCCAAGTCAGCTCTATAATGGACTTTGTCAGGTCGACTGGCGAGTCTCCCACACAACGCAAGTGGACTATCTAATTCACAACTATGTTTTCAGATATAACATTTCGACACAGATGTCTAGACGCACCCAACATTTACCTGTGTGTTGACGCGTGTGGATAATGAGATGTTCCTTACGAGAAAATTTCTTGGGGCAATATTCGCACTGATGAGGCATCTCACCTAAAATATTACAGCCACAATGTCAAGGATAGTAATGGTTGGTGGCCACATGACAAGTCAACAAGAGCTGAAGGCCACAACACACAGCTACAAATATCTAAGAACCCACAACAAAGTAAAGGGACAAAACTTAAAACTATTGTTGGCTCTGGCACGCTCAACTGGCTTATGAGACAGCATTTACCTGTGTGCAGACGGGTGTGAATTATTAGGTGTTCCTTACGAGAGAATTTCTTGGGACAGTATTCACACTGGTGCGGCATTTCACCTACAAGGCATCATGCTCAGTGTTACTACCTGCCCTCATATGTAAAACTAGTTTAGTGAGGTCAAATCCCCCTTCAGTGCGCGCCAATTACTCATTGTACCAATTTTGAGACTATTAAAGATGGCCAACATTAGCATTACATTTCAATACCGTTAAATGCGCATTCATAGAAAAAGCACAGCATTTGGCCAGACAGGCCTTACAAAGCTAAATATAACCAGAAAGAATGGCACATCTTAGTGTGGTTACCTGTGTGAAGACGCGTGTGGATAATTTGATGCTCCTTACGAGCAAATTTCTTGGGACAGTATTCACAGTGGTACGGCATTTCACCTAAGCATGCCACCATTAGTTAAATTAATTTATGATCAGAAACATAGTTCTGAGAAAACTAATTGAAACTATTTTCTTTGCTTTAACGCAAGTTACATGAAAAAGGCTTCTTCAATGACTGATAAACTATTATTGGTCTTGAATATTTACCTGTGTGCATCCGAGTGTGGATCACAAGGTGCTCCTTACGAGCGAATTTCTTGGGGCAGTATTCGCAATGGTGTGGAGTTTCACCTAAGGGGCACCATGGACGGGCATTAGATAAAACGGCCACACTAAGTCCCTTATATATTCAAATAATTACTAAATTTGCCAACAGAATTGTAAGATTAAATAAAAGATAAACTGGTCCTGGATATTTGTGTGTTCTGTTTTACCTGTGTGATGGCGGGTATGGATAATAAGATGCTCCTTACGAGCAAATTTCTTGGGGCAGTATTCACAATGATGTGGTGTTTCACCTAGAGAGGTGAACATCAGCTCAAATTAGAAATTGCCATGAAGCTATTAAACCACCCCATGTAAAATTTGAGAAGGATCTACATAACACATCCTCTGATAATGCTACATCCTCACTACATTAAGTCTACACAATTTTCATAACACAGTTTAGTAATGCATTATTACCTGTGTGTAGACGGGTGTGAATCAATAGGTGTTCCTTACGGGAGAATTTCTTGGGGCAGTATTCACAATGGTGCGGCGTTTCACCTACACAATCATGATTCTTTATTAGGACTTGACAGCTTTGATAGATATTCGGATATTTCTTTTCCAGGGACCATGTACGTGTGACTGCTAGCTAAGATAGAGGATGCACACAACAAGTTACCTGTGTGCAGGCGGGTGTGGATAATTAGGTGCTCCTTTCGAGAGAACCTCTTGGAACAGAGTTGGCACTGGTGCGGCATCTCACCTACACACAAGGCAGTGCCGCCAGTCACCCCACAACTAACTCACACTTTGTGCCATTCCTTCTGGTGATAGTGCGCACACCCAGCGCCACATGTTCTAATGCCCATGCAAACTTTTGCCCAGCAGAACAAATGTAATGTGGAATAGTGTAAATGTTTAAGGGATACGACAAACAACAATCTGAGGAAGTCATTCATTTTAGAAAGTGTAGGCCTAAATGAGTGGCACAAACAATGTGGGGTGAACAGGTACAAAAACTAGCAATAAACTGATGTTCACGACTAAGGTGAGGCGACTGACCTAAAACTCAAATAAAAGCCCTGATAGATGTAGGATGTGCGTGTGCTTTGACAAAATTCATCATGACTCGTGAACATAGAAAGGTATGCAGATTGTGTCAGTCTTTCAAAATGGCCACATGACAACAGGCAACCACAATTTAAGTTTGAAATGAATCTCTAACTGCTGAGTCAATAATGGTACTTGAAAAGATAATTCTACCTTTTCAAATACACACATTTCTAAATAAACTCCAAAAAAAGATCAGGAGTTAATCAAAAGCATCCACACACAAACATACAGGCCACATTCGCTCCAGCCCTACACAAAAGGCCAAGAGGGAAAGGAACCGACATTTAGAAAAGTAAGGTACTTCCCAAACAAATGAGTTTAACAAAATGACTTTCTCAGAATCTTCTTTCCCTCATCTAACTTTCAACACCATATTTACCTTAATATAGAAAGACTACAGCACAGTTAACAAATTAATAATGTGCATAATGCAGTAAAAAAGATTAAAAAATGGCACAGATGAAGGGGAACTAGACTTTCAGATCAATTAAATCACAAACCACTCAAAAGTAAGTTTGTCATGCAACTATTCTTAAAAACTAAGAAACCACACTCGAAAAACTGCAATACAAATGGGAATCCAAGTAGCATTAAATTATAGCTTTGGCACATACTGACTGAATGTCATCCTTCAAATTAGTTAGTTTCAATGAACCCTCACCAATGAATAAAAATAAGATGGCATAAATCTGCCAAGGGCAAACATACCATCAACCCACGGGACTCAACTCCTAACAAGTTCCTACCATTTAAAAAAAAATTGAGACCAACATGATACATATGATCAGTTCAAAACTAAATTGTGATAGCCTTTGTATGCCAGTATGAAATACTTCCACAAATGCTGGGAGTTGACATATGGACAAAATTTTAACACACTGAAGATGACTAGCAAAAGTTCCAGGCATTAGTCATGGCTCATAATATCAAAATACAAGGATATATTATAATTGGGTGTGACTTTTCTAATGAGCTCTATATTGCGGTAAATATGGCACATACACAGCGTTAACAGCTGAACCGGACTCCACAAGATAAAGATAGAAATATCCTATGGACCTGAGTAAAATGGAGCTTTTTGTTACCTGTATGCTGCCGGACGTGGTTCAACAGGTGCTCCTTACGGGTGAATTTTTTCCCACAGAGATCACATTGATGCGGCGTCTCACCTAAAAGGGGACAGAAATGGCCGTTTGGTCTTTAATATGTGCAAAACTGTCACCAGCCAACTAGTTTTGTTCAGAATGTGATATTTAGGAGCAATATAACATGTGAGATACTTACAACAGTCGAAGACAGAGTGAAAAAAACAGGTCATAGAGCAAGAGAGGAAGCTCTCTTGCAGACCCAAGAAACCTTACCTGATCATGAAGTACCAGGGATGGAAACAGAGATCATGTGCCGCAAGGTTTACAAAGCATGCCACTACAAAAGTATTGCCACCAGTGTAAAGGTACCAATTTGAAAAGTTTCCCCCATTCAATAATATAAAAGGATGTATCATTAGAAAGTAATTAACCCGTAATGTTCCACATGCATTTGAAAATAATAAAGGCCAGTTGAGATACAACAGTACAATGAGAACATTGGCAGCTTAAAACTGACTGAATGACAGAGCCCGGATCAGATGAATTAAGCAGCAATAATGCAGAACGGTTCTGAAAATGTAATGTGGTGCGCACACAACAAATGACAAAAGCTTACAAAGCAGGCAAACATGCAGAGCAGCTGTCGAGGTGGGGGTGGGGATTTCTTCATCATAAATTGTGAAATGGTTCCATACTTACCAGTGTGCCACATGATGTGGCTCGTGAAGTGTTCCTTCCTTACAAATGTCTTCCCACAGGTTTCACAGCGAAAAGGCGTCTCATTGGAGTGCGTGAGCATGTGGTTCACAAGATGTTCCTTCCGAGTGAATTTCTTGTCACAGACCTACCCACCATGCGGGACAAACAAGAACAAGCGAACAATAATGAGCTGATCATACATACCAGAATGCCACATGATGTGGTTCGTGAAGTGTTCCTTCCGAGAGAATTGTTTGTTGCAGATTTCACAACGAAAGGGCGTCTCATGCGTATGCGAGATCATGTGATTATTCAGGTGCTCTTTCCGTATGAACTTCTTACCACAGACCTAATGAATCAAAGAGATTATTCTCACTCAGTAGAGCACAACTACAGTGCACAACAAACATCACCTAGGCGCTTTTTGTTTAATTTCATGGTCAGAGATTAAGCAAGACCATGGGATGATTATTCAATTGGAACACTATTTCAATGACTTAAATTCCTTTATCACTTAGATAAGGCAGCTATATTCAAAGAAACACAGACCCAAACAAAGTTGGATAATTTAATTGTGTATGTGATTAGCAACTTTCTGAACATGTCATTATCAGAACAAAATAATACAGCAAGCAAATGCCGTTAGTCATTAGTGAAAAAAATATGCAGAAATAAAGAAATTCCTAACAAATACGACAAACCAAAATCATATTAAAAAAGCAAATTTCACTTTTAAAATAGTTAGTTCAGGACGGAACGGCACCTGTCTCATAACCAAGCCCACAGAAGACAGCCCAAAGTTGGAAAATTGATAAAGATTAAGTTACTGCCATTAATAATTTTGAGACATGACCCATCAGTATCAAATGGTTTACAAATGCATAATTGTAAAGAGTGTGAATTATTCAAAGAGAAAAAAAAATGGTTAAAGCAGCAATCAGATAAGTAGTTTTAAGGTAGAGAGGCAAACAAGGAAGCTCTTTAAATCATGGGAAAAAGTTCTCAAAACAGTTAAGTAAGATATAACATATTTGAAAGGTGTGCAGTAAGCACTTATGTTTCTGATTCTAATGTGAAAATTTCCTTCAGCCTTCCATAGCCTCTCTACTCTTCTTTAAAAATTCAGAAGGTAAGTATGCGAAAACAATTACCTGACAAGAATGAGGAGTTTCACCCGTGTGCCACATGACATGGTTCATAAAATGTTCCTTTCTTGTAAATGATTTCTTGCAAATATCACAGCGATGTGGAGTTTCACCAGTGTGCTTTCGCACATGATTTACCATATGCTCCTTACGGGTAAAAGACTTAGCACAGTATTGACAACGGTAAGGCGTCTCTCCTGTAATGTAATAGAAGAATTAACTAGAGCACTATGCACAACTGATTAACAGCACTTGGAGAAAAGATGAAAACCAAGTGAGCAAATTTCCAACATCAATACACATACCTGTGTGGCATCTAGTATGATTGTCAAGGTGTTCTTTTCTTGCAAATGATTTACCACAGACAGGACAAGCGTAAGGTTTCTCTGTTGAATGTCTCTTCATATGGCGTTCTAATGAAACAGCATTGGCAAACACATGGAAACACACTGAACATGTGTACATGCTGCCTCCTAAGTGACACTTCCCATGCCTTGTCAGTTCAGCCGCACATGAAAATGCCTTACCACAAACCTACAAACCCAAAAACCAACATTAAAAATCCCCCAAAGCTTAATTAAATTGAAATGATAACAGATAAATCAGACATACCTGACAAGTAAATGGTTTTCGTTCTGTGTGGTACCGACGATGGACTATGAGCTGGTACCGGAAGGGAAACATTTTGCCGCACACATCACAAGCGTGAGTTACAGCTGAGGCTAATGAAGAGGGTGAAGTGGTACCTGACACACCTTCACCTCCTTCATTTAATGTTTTCACCATCACACCATTTTGAAGAACAGCTGAATTGAGAAGAAACATGTCAATTAAACAAAAATGCAAGCCAAGGAACAAGAAGACTTCTGTAATGAGACACTATTTACCTGGTTCTGCATGTTGTCGTGCAGCTGTTATTGCTGCAGCTGCAGGTTGTTGAGGTTGTGAGGTAGTTGTGGTCACAGTAGTAGAATTAGTTGGTTGTCCAGCTGTCACCATTTCATTTTGAAGTTTACCAAAAACTTCATGATAGGCTAAAAGTTGATTTATATCTTCAACATTAACTTTATACATATTTTGAACCATTTCAACACCTAATGTTTTGGCAAGCTCCTGTTCCCCATTAGGTGTGGTTATCTTTAGAATGCTTCCGTCTACCGTTCTCAAGTCCATCATGTGACCTTTAATTTCTTGCATAGGGAAGCTGCAAAAGAAAACAGGCATGTCGTCAGAAGTCGAAGCACAATCAGAACAGGAGAAGCATGAGGTTGGCAGTGCAGTGCACCTGCAGTGCACTCACCCCGACATGATGAGGCGCTGGTCCTTGTGACCACTCGCCCCCGCCTTGCCCGCCTCGTGCTTGATCTCGGCGCCGACCGCCTGGCCGCCCGCCGCGACGTGCACCACGGCCACGGGGTGGGCGGTGGGGTGCGCCGAGCCGTGCGCCGCGTGCGCCGCGTGCACAGTCACATGGGCCGCGGGGTGCGCCGCCGGGTGGGCAGCGTGCGGAGGGTGCTCCATGGTAGCGACCTGCACAAACAGAACACGACAGTGAGCAGAGCGCACAACGCAATCCCAGCAGACTGATTCCGAGAGTCGCTTCCGTCGCGCTGTCTCTTTCGCACTACTGGGGCGTCCCGTATGGTGCGAGAGAGACAGAGCGACGATAAGGACTCTCCGAATAAGCCCACAGCCGAGGAACCACACCAAAGCCGAAGACGAACTGAACTCACAGAGCGACTTACCCTCACGTCAGCAGTCGCTTGGACAACTTGGGCGGCTTGAGCAGCTTGAGCAGCCTGTACAGCTTGGGCGGCAGCCTGGGCGGCGGCTTGGGCGGCGGCTTGCTGCTGGGCTACAGCTTGTTGAACGGGATGCATGCTTGTTGTATTGTTCGCTGTTGCCATATCTTGACGCACCAACAGCTGAAGGAAGTGAAAACTTTGAGTCAGAAAAGCTGCTACCGCACATACACAAAGCATGTGAAAATGCTGAAAAGAACATTACTTGATGCGCCGGGTGTCCCGGTGAGTCCCTTGTACCAGGTTTGTCTTTTCCAGTTTCGAAGGAAGAATGGCCTGGTGCAAGTCCAACGGAGTGTTGCGACTGGGACTGCTGCTGAGGTAGTGTCGGAGCAGCTAAGCCAATGTGTTGAGGTTGGCTTAGAGTCGGTACTGCCCCAGGAGCTGTCGGAATCGCAGAGACACCGGATAGCTGCAATCAACATAGAACAGATGGATTAATTAATGGAACAAATGGTGTATTGCCAACTTCATAACAAATGGCTGCTCATAACTAATGACAAATTACTACCACCACATCCACAACAGCAAAATCAAAGGCCCCAACCGCTTCAAAAACTAATGAATGTTTCCAGACCTCATCAAAAACTGAACCAAACTTAATCAGGGATGCCATCACATAAAATATTACCTCTACGCACATCTTTAGAAAAAGATAGTGGAGCATTAACAGTAATCTGATGAATTATCTTTAGGAGTCCAACATAAGTGAATCTATTACACAAAAATTTAGAATCAGCCAAAGCTGTATGTTGGAACCCAAACTTGAGAATTACAGAGCTATAAGGCATCAAACAACATAACTTCTTGCAGCTTATAGAGATACTTGAGTTCCATTTAGAGGTGTGAGTCACCACCCAAAACTAAAATAAAGATTCATGCAGGTCCAGCCCAAAGCAATGAATTATGGTATTAGAAACACACTCACTGTGGGGAGCCAGCCTCACTCAAAGGATCTGTGCAAGCAGGGAATAAAAACACATAAGTTAATGTCACACTAAAAACACTTATCAAATATTTCACTCAATGGGCATGTCATTTCAAACTTGTTAATTGAAATTTCAATTTGATGCTTGATTGTAATATTAAAGGCATTGTGCAAACAAGTGAGCAAGATATTAATGGACAGTATATTTTATTTAAGTATAACATACCTGTTGGATCTGACCTGGGAAGAGGTTACTGAGCACCCAATATTTAGCAACCATGGTACCCATTCGCAGGTCTGTTGGACCGCCAGAAGGCCTTGCGACGCCATCCTGAAAAAAAAACAGAAGCACAGATGTTGTCAGGACTGCTACTTTCAGACTTAGGCAAAGAAAGCATCTAAAATTTTGAATTGGTATTAAGAACTTCTAGAAAACAGCAAAGGAACAAGCAAAGATTACATCAAAATAAATCATGAAGTACAAGTAAAAGTGAAGCACAAAGACACACATATCAGTGGACAGGGATGTGGGAGACAGGAAGCAAGGACAGACAGGAGTAAGAGACGAGATCGAATTAAAAAATAAACCCAAGAAAAAAAAGCTTATAAATGCAGCCTTTAAATTTATAATCTCTTTTGAGATAACATTGCAGGCTAAGCAGAGGATATGATCTGCACATTAAACAATTAGAGGATGTTTTCTTTGAATATTGCCAGTAAAATCAAACACACCCCACATCACATTAAATGAAGCCATTTTCAAAACCATTGCAAGCTAAAACTCAAGATAAAAATGAGGAGTGGGAGGAAAATCAAATACAAGAAATTATTTGAGACCTCTGAGGAGGGCGCAGAGGTGGTTGGAATCACACCGTGATGCTCTGTGTTCATCTTGTAGTGTGTTGATCAAGAACATTTCGTGCAACAATTATTATCACCATTTAAAAAGGTTTTCCAATTTCTTCCACAATCCTGAAACAAATAACGAAGACCATCAGCTACAAAGAACTTGTACTTCTGATACATGTTGACACCTTCAGAGGTTGTGATGGTAATTTTGCCACAAACTAGACTGAAGCAGTGGTTGAATTGGACAGCTAAGATTTTCCTTCCTTTCCCCTCTCTTATTATCTGCCATCATAGCAGATGGTCAGCCTCTACAACAGAAATTCAGTACCAAATAGGAATTTAATGAAATTATTTATCATTTGACTTCAATAAAATAAATAGGAAACTGTGTTGTTACACAGTTGAGTAGAATGTAGAAGAATGCCACAAGAGGTCAAAACTTTAATGGTAGAACAAATTTCTGTGCTCACAAAATTTTGAAGTCAAATTATACGAGTAAATTGCTTGAACATATTTTTCCTGAAATTTGTGGGGTTTCAATGAACTACCAAAAATAAATTTCAATGAGTTCCATAAGTGAATGGAGGAAATGATATCACAAAGTATTTATCCGGGGACAAATTGTAAAATTTTCATTCATAAAAATCAATAGATGAATTACTTCAAACATTTTGAAAAGAAAACCACAGTATGGGTTAAATTGGAATAACTTTGACCAGTGAGAGACGTATTCCGCACACAAGCTAACCTCCACAGTCGGCTGAGATGGTTACCCCGCACATTCTCAAGAGAAAGCCATCACGTACCTGGTAGCCATGGCTGTGTCTGAGTATCCAAAGAGGAAATTAAATTTAACTCTTTCCCTGTCCACAAGCTGCTCACACAAACGCAATCCTAGACATTCCAGCAACAGCCCGGAGCTCTTTCAAAGGGGAAAAATATGGAGTCTAGCAAACGGTTCACATCTCACGACTCGCACCTGCTAACTAAGTCGAGCGAAGCGAACCCAGCCCCGAGTATCAGAAGAGATGAAAACGCCCAAAATACCGAAACCGAAACACAAATTGCTGGCGTAGACTGGCAAACAGGACACAATTGGAAGGGAAGAGAAGCGACGGGGTGCGGTGGGGGTTATTTTGACAGAAAGCTGGCGAGAAGGGAGAGGAGACGCGAGGCGAGGCGAGGGCGGGCGGACGGGAGGATGGCGTTGGTGGCAGCAGCAGCAGAGCCTTGGCCGAGGTGACAGTACCGCCCGCACGCCCCCAGCCTCCCCGCACCCCTTCGGCACTCACCCCCTCTCTCCGGGCAGCCCCTAAGGCGGGCCTTAAGGTCCAACTGACATACGTGTGCTTTTGGACCTCCTTTCGGACGATTAAGGGCGAATTTTACAGCCTACTTAAGCCAAGAAATGACGAACAGGTTACCTGTCATGGCGTCGCGAGAGAAGATGCCCAAGCCAAACACAATGCAGAATGGCCTATGGCTTCGTTGTCATCAGAAAGTCCAAATTACAGATGCGTACGATGTGAACATGTTCTACTTAAGTTACGAAGTCATTATTCCGTCACTAGCGTCCATAAAAACAAGTAAAACTAGGCAAAAACATAACTGAAATAACACAAGTGCATCGATCTATTGATACACTACTCTCACTACGCTCACCAACACGGCCTACATGATACGGTGGCGTGGATGCAACCAGCCGGTCGCTTCCTCCGATTTGGCGGTTTATCTGTTTTCGTCGCTATTTGACAAACTAACGGGTTTCTGGGGACGAGCTAACACTAAAAAGTCGAGTAAATCGACGAAATGCCTCGACAGCTCACTGAATACAGTTGAAAGCAGCGCAAAGCGTCATGAACTTTGAAAAAAATTCCCCAGTTAGTTCACATTGACGCCACCAGGGAGCGCCATGACGTGGCGTCTGTAAAGTCCGTCTGCGGCAACGGTGTCTCTCCCTCCCCATCCCACAATTGGCGGTTTGGGTTTCGTACAGGGAATACAATGGAAGTCGACGAACGCGGGCCACCCTCGGTGCGGCCCGTGGTCCCGAAGCTCGGTGCGGCAATCCCAAGCCGAATGCGAGAGAAAGTCCAATCTTTTTCCCGGCAGCCGGCGGCGTCTAAATGCGGATCCCGCCCGCCGCCCTATAGTCCGAACGCGCTCGCCTCTGCCCTCCGCTGACTTGGCGGCCCTCCCCTCCCTTCCCCTGCCGCCGCTACACTACGTTCGATGCGCATGAGCCGGCATATTTAATGTTGCGCACTTTGTGTCAACGGACTTGACGACGTAGTGACCAGAATTGCGCAGAATTTAAGTTAAACGAACAAATCGCTGCCGCATGGCCAAAATGTCTCCCCTGTCCCGGGTTTTCCCCACCCCCACCCCTTTCCCTCTCCCCATGTGTCCATTCATTCCATTGAATGTGCCGGTGACTCGTTTAATAAAGGTGAATTTAGAATTGCACAACTTTAACTCACGTGTTACATGGAGAAGAAATTCACTGTCACCACATGCTGTAACTTTAGTGTCGATTTGTTATTCTTTGAAATGGCTCAGACTGCAAATGGCCCTCCGCTCAGGGTACAAAGCAAGAACACAACTTTTATTGATAATGTTATAATTTATTACTCCACCAAACAATATCAATCACATTCTATACACTGAGAACCAACAATCCAGCCTGCATATAGAATACAAATACGTTCTAGAACATTAAAGGAAGAAAATGACCAGAAAGATAAACTGGTTAGTACCAAACCAAAGGTGACAAATGTAATACTATTTTTCGATTTTCCTTTTTGTAATTATAAATCTTTGGAAAAAATTCTGAAACTATTCTAAAATAATACAAAGAATCATTTTAGTTAATGATAAATGCTCAATTTTTTGTAGGTTGAACAGTTCTAGACAAAATTCAGTAACCATCAAGAGGTATTCATGTGAGAAATGCTGCATAGCCTGTACTTGCATTCCCTTCACCTAATTAAAACAGTAACATTTTTAGCACTTTTTAAAGATACAAAACAGTTTTAACTTGCAGAAAAAAAGCAACCAAAAATTACCCTGATTAAGTTCAAATTCATCTTCCTTGCAGGTATGTAAAAATCAGCTTAGGATTGATGTTAGTAACAAAACAAACACATGTGAAGGTTAAACTAAACCAGAATAGCCCACAAAGAGGCAATAAATTCTTGTAAGCATGCAACAATTCCTCATGAAACAATGGTCTTTCAGAAACTGCTTAACCAATGCAAAAGAATGTTTGTAAAAAATATTTCCTAATCAGATAATTTCCCAGTCATACATGTCCATATCACGAAAGTTCTGCTTACAACAAAACAGCTTACCAAATTTAGAATTAATAAAATTAGATTACAATTATGTTCACAAATCAAGTTAGCTTCTTAGCCTTCTGGTATAAGGTATCCACAACTTTACCCATACTGTGAATGGTTTCCAGTGCCATTTCATATGTTTTGTCAACTGGCTTTCCTTCAAAAACAATGAGTACACCTTCTCCCTGGTCTAAGATGCCTTGGAACTTCTTATCCAAAATCATTTGTGAAAGCTTCTTTTCTACCTGAACCATAGGAAGTTTAATGCTCTTGGCCACATGATCAACTTCTACTCGTGAATAGGGCTCGATGATGCGACACAGATTCTGCTCCAACATGTTGTCATACAGAGTGCCCAGATGAGCGCGGACGATGACATCTTCTTCAAGCTCTGAGCGATACATCTTCAAGGCTTGTTGAAAATCGGCAAGAGATCTTTTATGGCTTGCTTGAGCAACTGCCTTCATAGCTTCAATGTCCTTTCCAGCATACTTAATAGCCAGTTTTCCACTCACAATCTGTTGAACATCTTCAGGAGAATTCAACATGATTTTAGACAGCAACATATACTTCAACGCAGTCAACGCCTTTGAGCTTTCCACACTATCGTAGCCTTCGAAAGCTTCATAGAAATAGGAGTACGCAGTCTTGAAGTCTCGTTCATCAGCTGCATGAAGAATACCGGACTGGAGATCAAGTGCAGCCTGCATCTTGGGTGGGCAGTAGATAGAGTTGGCTGTCGTGCGGGCTGATGTGAGGGCTGCCCGAGCTTTTGACAGATTACTGAGTGCATGATATGTCTTGCTCTCTAGCAAAAGGACCTCGACAAGAAGGTTCTTATCATCCAATTTCTTCAATTCTTTTAAGAGGTTTGAACCCAATTGCAGAGCTTCGGAGAACATACCAGTGTCGAAATAGAGAGCGATGAGTCTCGCTTCCAGGGACTGCCTTAGGAAGGTTCTCCTCTCCTCCTTGGCCCATTCGATGCATTCTTTGCATAGCTGTACTTCAATGCCAATGCCGGCCTCCAAATCCAGGAAGAAGTCGACGAGAGACCGGACGAGTTTGGCAGCTTTGGCCTTACTTATCTGGCTCAAGAAGGGCCTTGTGGCCTTGATGAGGTCGGCAAGTTCGTTGGCCTTGCCTTCTTTCTTGTACCGCTCACCAAGTTCAAGGATATCTTGCTCCTTCTCACGAATTTTGTCTTCCTCTTCATCGTCGGCGATATTTGTAAGAACGGTGTTTGGATTTGACACGGATTGAGCTCGCTCAAACAACATTGCGCCCGCCATCTTTGTTAGAACCGCTCCGTCATCAATGAACTGCACGAATAAACCGGGATCTTCTTTACTAGATGGCTTTTGGCTTTAGTGTTGTTTAGAAACGGCCAGGGTTGCTACTTGAAAGTCGGTTCGCCAATGGTCATAAATGGTCATTCTTTCAAAAGTTATTTTGATGGTTTCATACAAAGTCATGAGGTGATTCCGTAAGAAATAAAAATCTTAAATAATAAAGGAAATATAAAACAGTAAACCAAACAAAATCAGGGGAGGGGGCTATCGGAGGTGGGGGAGGGGGAGGGGCGAAAGGGGCGAGGGAAGGGGGAGAGAGGGGAGAGGGAAGGGAAAGGTCAAAAATATCAACAGCGTAGCCATCAGCAGAAGAAACAATACATCGGCACTTAGAAAAATGAGCTTGTTTGTTGAACTATGCGGACAATCACTCTAAAATTTGCAGCACTAGACCACCTTGTTGTCCCATTTTTTATTCACATTAATTTTTTGAAATGTTAAAGTGTTAAGAAAAATACTAACCTTGTAACTTCATATCACTATCAATGTAAGTCCCCATTTTGTTCACCGTTTTATTGTTGTATAGACATTTATGTGACACTCTCTCTACTTTTGTTTCTTCAGACCATACTGTGTTGATTTCGCTTTTATACGACCATGCTTTTGTTTTGATTAAGTTTATGAACCCCAAATTTATCCCAATGTTTACTTTACTGTTTTGTTGTACTCCTCAGGGCAATATCATCAGCTGTTAATGTCGAAGCAAAGTCCCTGATGGATGGCATTCAACAACCGCCTAAAATTACCTCCAAAAAATATTCAAGATCGAGAGAAACGCCAACATCGTCCTCTCAAAATTCTTCAAAGAAAGCCTCGGTGGGATTCTCTACCAAAGAGGCTCTGCATAGGCTGCACTCTGGCATTAATGATCTCCTTGAGGAACAGCAATGTGCCAAAGTCAAAAGGTTCACTCAAATTATATTTTCTATTTTTTATCAATTAATGGATCATAAATTCAATTTCTTTTGAATTGTTGTCTTGCAGTCACAAGTACCCTTGGATTTTCGATACTTTATATTGCAAGAGCGAGTACACCACTTGTTGTTGGACGTCTACCCTAGCACTTCTTATTACTGCAGTGTGTTTGGTTGTTACGTATGTTAGCCATGACCATACAAGGTGAGGTGTTTATCCTGGTTGGTCCTCCCTACCTTTATCAAGGTTTGAATATTCCTTTACTGAATTCTTGAATGTTATAGATTGGGCACTTTACCACTTGAGGCTGTTTTGCTTCTATTATTGACAACAGTTAATGTTTGTGCTGTTGCTTGGGACAACAAGTTGAGGCACAAGGAAATTCCACTTGGTGTTGCAGCTCTGCTACATAAAGTGAAAGGTAATTTTAGAAACAAAGAGTAAAGGTGCGTTCATGCTCAATGATGCTTCATTGCCATAGCTTAGTGAGCTGCATTCAGACACCACCAGTTATTCCACAAGCCAATCCTAGTCCATTCTTATGGCCTCTATTTTGTCTGGATCTGACCCACTACGCAACACAATCCAAACATGAACGAGTGTGAATGTGGGTTTAGTCTTATGCAAGTGTTTAGCTTTGATTAATTTTTAAACTTTAAAACTGTTTGTCTATTGGTTTATTTTTAAATATTCAGAGGCAGTGGATTTTAGCGAGTGGAAACCAGAAAACTACCCCCATCTGTGTTCTCCTCTTTCCCCTTGCATCACACTACAGTGGACGTACAGAGATGGAACTCTGGTTAATTTGCCATGGGCATTGCTGGTAGCAGGTGATGTCGTGGTCATGAGGCCTGGACAACCTGCGCCTGCCCCATGCATTCCACTTCATGTGAGTTACTTGTTGATATGTTTAGTTTTTTGCCTTATATGTATTTCATTTACAATGGGACCTTCATGAATATGTTTTTACAGACTGATAAGGATTTACCAATCCTTCAAACCGGTGAACTGTTCAGCCCTGCTCCAAACAAGAAGCCGGATATATTCTCTGTGCCCATGTCTCGAGTCCCTCTTCAAAATGAAGAATATGTTCTTGAACAAACACCATACATTAATAATTTGCGAATAGCTATGGAACAAGCTCTTAATCGACCTATCACCTATTACAACCGTCAAAGACATACTCTCATGGTCAAATATGTCGAGCTAATATTTCTACCCATCCTTTTGGTGATAAAAGCGTTGATAGAAATAATATTTTCTGTAATCTGGTTTGCAACTTGAATAATAATATGTTTGTTTTTTGCAGTTGCTTGTGCTACTTGTCAATCTTGTACGGCTTGGTTATCTTCATCGTTTAGTCTCATGTGGACCATGGATTGAAATGATATTACTGCAGCCTATTGCAGTAGTTCTACCTCTTTTACCTGTGGTATTTCCTACAGTATGGCTTCTCCTAAATTGTCTCGGAATGGCTCGGCTACTTGCTATACTTGATGTGTCACCACATGATCATAATGTAATGTCATTTGCAACTATTTTCATCAAAAATTATCTTTCTTTGGTTTTTATCATTCAATTTTTTGAAATTTTACAGAAATGTTTGGATCCTTTTGAGGATGTGGAGGCTGAACCACAACAGAATCCTATCAAGCTACCATGGCAGTCTATACGAAAGCATCTATTAAGTGTTTTTCTAGGATCTGAGCCCACTCTTTGCCGCTCTGCAAATATCTTACATGTTTTAGGATCAATGACAGTAAGAAATCTGTTTTCGAAAAAAAAAAATTCAACAGGCTTGTATTTATGTTTATAGATAATGTTCACAAAATTGTAATTATTGATTCCTCAGGCTCTTTGCTGTATTGATAAGAAAGGAATATTATCCTGGCCCAATCCTACTGCCGAGAAAGTTTTTTTCCTACGTAATGCTAGCCCTACCTCGCATTCGTCAAGGTAAGGGATGATAAAGCTGAAATAAGACTTAATGTCACGTCACTTCACTTTATGATGCTTTTTCTTCTTTTCTGAAGAAAAATATTATGTTATTTGAGAAACCTTTGTTGTTGTTTTTCAGCTTGGTTAGTGAAGATGCTGCATTGTACACTGATACAGGAGCTGTAGCCAATTCTGTAGAAATAATTGATGCTTCTGAAGACACAAAAGCAGCCGGCACTAATATTGGTAAGTCATCTGCACAGTAGTAGCTCTTTGTTTTAATGATAGGTGCTGAAGAGATTAATTTTATCCTCTAGAGTCCTCTACTGTTGCTGAAGTCCTTGATCTGACCCACGACCATTCTAGTCCATTTCGACTACAGTTTGATGATCATACCTGGAAACAACATTTATCCTCATTGAAGCCTTTGGGTTTGGCAATTTTACTGAATACATGTAATATGGCTACACAAGAACACTATGCTGCCTTCTGTGCTCATGTTACATGTGAGGCTCTTCATGATGAAGACCTGGTTCCTGTTACCAACCGCAGGTAGGTATTCATGTTTATTGTGTTCAGCAATGTTAACCCATCTTTTTCTTATTGAAACAGGTTTTTATTTTTTCTTAGAGTTATAATAACTAACAATTATAACTAAAAGGCCAAGTTAATATAAATTTTTGTTTTCTTTCATTTTTTACTACTGGTTGACCCTTTAAGTATTGATCAGAGGCAGAACTTTTTATTCTAGATGCACACTTTGTTTTTTTGAATAAACGTCATATTCCTGCAATTTTTAACAGGAACTACCCTATTGGTGGGGATGTGGCGGCCTTACCCGCTTTCAACAAGTATGATAATGAGTATTTTTTTCTTTGTTTTTATTTATGGGTAATGGTTGGGTGTAGAATAATGGTGGTATGTTTTCCTCATCTTGTGTAAGAAAAGGGGCTATCCAGCTGTACACTTTGTTCTGTGTCAACATACTCTGAAAAACTTCTTGTGTTCTGCTCTCACTATGCTTCAATTAATAATGTGCGTGCTTATTCCTCTGTATTCCTCCCTTCTGAACTTTCTGTTGCTACACTTCTGGTGTGTTATTTTTGCCTGTCAATGCTATCAGTGTGTGTGCTCTGTTTATAGTTTCCTCACAATAGAAACTGTTGTATAGAGAACACTTCATTTTTATGGCTGATCATCTGTTCCAAATTAAAGCGACACCATGGCCTAAGAAATCTTGTTTCCATTATAAAACATTTTATATGTAACTTGTTCTTTTAAAAATTTTCCCAAAGCTATCTATAAAATTGTGTAAATTTTACATTTAAGCCACTTAATCTTCTTTCAATATTTATTGTTTGAATGAGTACAACTGATAACATACTGATTAATTCAACGGAAATTTTTGCCCTGGTTCTTACAGGCAATGTAAGAGGTAAGCACGATGAGGAGTAAAAGATGACTAGCTACTAATAGACGTACAGCTTATTATTCCTCTTGTGCATGTGTTGCAGTTTCATGCAGTAAGATAAGGCTTGTGCTAATGATTTTTTTCTTTCTTTTTTTTTATTTTGACTGGGATTCTTAACTTTACTTTTTAGCTGCCCTTATTTTCAAAACGGCTTGTTATATGAAGTGATACAAGGTAACAAATATTCTGGGCAGTATCTCTGAAAATTGTTATCATCTGTTATTTCATACAACCCAAGCTGTTTAGGAAGGTAGCTTTAAAGTTAAACTAGGACCCTCTGCATTAGGAGGCTTTTTTTTTACTGTTACTTGCTGACTGCCTTTCTTATGGGTATCTCTTGTGTTGTTATTTCTGCACCTCTTTCATTATGTGTCACTTCCTATATCTTAATGTCACACATGTAGGTAACACACCTTTTTTCTTTTTTTCCAAGATGGTTTACAAGTTTGTCAGCAAAATGTTGCAAAGAAGAGTGTATTAGTTGGCTGGTGCAGTCACACATATTTTATTTTTCTATGAGGATGTACTGTGCGTAGTGATGTCTCCTGTACGCTAATGCATGAAGCTGCTATTGGGCCAACATTTGCTCTGTCTCTTTGTAATGTTCGGTGAAATCCAGCCCCTTTGTTTCTATGAGAAAAGTTAATTTAAGAGACCTAAATAGAAAGTTGGATTTTTTTCTCACCTTAGATACAGTTTCTGGTGTAATTTTGAAATTGTTGTTTTAATTGTTAAGCTCACTGATTTCTTTCCCTCTCTCTTGGTGTTTTTTTTTTCTTGTATTCACTATTTAAATATTCTGTTTCCTTCTGGTTTTAGGTGTCTTTGCGAGCTGGCGAAGCAGATTGGTTTTGTTGACCAAGCCCAGGATTTGTTCCAATTGCAACAACAACTGTCAACATTCAGGCATGTGGTAAGCAGATTCATATTAATTTTGTTTTCTTGTTTGCTCATGGAATTCTTGGCTTTTTGCAGCTGTTTGTTTTCTCTATTTTTTGTCATTACCTTGCAGCAACCAGAATTAGCAAGGAGAGATATTAAGTTTGCACGTTCATTGCCTAATGCTACAAAGCTGAAATTCCCCTTTCCTCATATGGTTGCTGTAGTTGTTCAAGAGCAAACAAGCCATTCACTGCAACTTATGTCCCAAGGCACAGCTGACATTATTCTTGATTCGTGTGTTGAATACTGGGATGGCCGTGATTTGTGCACTCTGTCACAATCCGACAGGTTGGACACTTTAAAGTAGCTCTGAGTTTTCCACATCTATCTTTTGTCAACGCATGCTCACATTTATATGTCACACAGGAAGAAGGTTTTGGATTTTTATCAACGCTCAAGTCTTACAGCATATTGCACTGCATTTGCTTATCGTCCTCTCTCAAGAGCCATCAGCCCTTACTTGGCTAATGTCTACCTTGAGCTACCAGCTGACAGTCGCCATTTGTATGCACCTCACAGGAGTCCAACTCCGTTAGCATTGGACAGCAGGTCTAAAGGTCTTCTGGCAAACTTCCAATCAACTGGTGCGTGCTGTAAAAAATATTTGCTTTGATAAATCCACATAAATTGTACTCCGATGAAATGAAAACTTCCTCTTTCTGTTCCATTAGATTCCTTGTTTGGCTATGACAACAAAGATACTGAAGTTACTAGTGTTGAGGATTGTTTTGAGTTACAATGTAATCAGGTCTTTGTAGGTATGGTTACAATGCAGTATCAGGCACAAATTGACATGGTAAGTTTAAATCATGTCAATCCTGAAGCAATTCTCATTTGTGTTACTTTTCTAATTCATCTTTATTTTTCCAAAATACTCTCTGTAATCAGGTTAAACTCATCGACCAGCTCGAACGAGCTTGTGTACGTTTTGTACACTTCAGCAAAGAGAATGAACTGAGATCAAGAGTATTCTCTGAAAAAATGGGTTTAGAAAGTGGTTGGAATTGTCATATATCTCTGCTGAGTGAACGTAACAGGTATTTTCCCTAAAACAATCAATCAACCATTGTGGAAACCACAATGGTTTAGGGTTTTCTTGCTTTCTTTGAACCTCCAATGCTTGATTCTCTCCTCTTTTTATTCTATTTATAAAAGTAATATTTTTATCTTTTTCTCATTTGGGAGCTTTATGTGAAAACTGAGGATTCTCATAATTTCTTTGTTTCTTCTTTTTGGGGAGGAAATTCGCCTGGGAAATTTTATGGGTATATTTGTTTGTATGCGGGAGATTTTAAACATACCCTTTGTGTCCAAGTATTGCTTAGCCCTTGCTCCTCAGTCCTATTCTGAATCCCAAGAGCCTTTGTTATTTCTCATTGCATTGGTTTGTTATGTATTTTTTTCATGGTATATTTGATGCTGTTTCAACAGATTTTTTTCTAATGACCTCAAATTTCAGCTTTGCTACATTCTAGCCAAAAAATTTTACTGAAGTAAAAAAAATATATTGTTGATATTTTGACATTAACCATATATTCATTCATGTTTCATCTTCTGATTTACATCACCTCACTGCTGGGCATTTTTGTTCTATGTTTGGCTATGTGAGTGCTTGATGCTCGTTTGTGCGTGTGCATGCTTGCATGTATGTGTTGTGTGCAGATCGGGCAGTGATACGAGTGATATCAGACCAGGTCCCCCACGATACTTCTCTAATGCTCACCTCGCATCCTCAATCAAGCAACATATCAACTTACCACGACAATTTATTCCATCACGGTATGCAATGTTCATTCATTCTTTTTTTCATATGTTCCTACAGCTAATTCTTTCAATTATTTATATAGATTCACATCTATTCCATCAGTTTTCTAGAGTGAACATTGCATAGAAGAGAAATTTATTTGTGATGTTATTGTTCAAATCATTTAAGAATGTCTTGTACTTGCCTGATTCATCTAATATTTTTTCTTTATTGTGGACATTGCAGCAGTAATCTTCCACAGTCCAGAACAATGAGTCTGTCAGCACCAAGTGCTATAAATTTAGAACATTCATCTCCACCAAACCCTCCTGATTGGGATTCAGCTCAGCATAGGTAAATGTTGATTGTTGGTATCTTCAAATAATTTATTTGCATCACTTGCTTTGAACTCACCATGATTTTTTTTTTTGTTTGTGAAATCTAGGGAAGCCTGTGATGATGAAGGTTTAGCAAGCCAAGATGGTTTGAATGATGGCAGTGCCCAGCCCAATCAAGATGCCTGGCGTTCGCTTAGTTGCCTGACTGACTCAACTGAACAAAGCGCACCAATTAATTTTGATATGTCCAATAGGGTGAGTGCAGATACAAAGGTAAATTTTAAACAAGCCATAAAGTTAGCTATCTTAAACTTTGTTTTCAGGCTAAATTGCCTCGTGGCATTGACAAAATACGTCCGCACCTAGAACAAATTGATAATGTCCCTTTGCTCGTTTCCTTATTCACTGACTGCACAGCCGATGCAACACGGGAAATGCTTCATATAATGCAAGAATATGGCGAAGTTGTGTGTGTGCTTGGTTCTGCTGCTAATGCAGACAATATGGGAATTTTTCTGCAAGCTGACGCAAGGTAAATGTTGCTGTTGTTCTTTGAATGTTTCATCCATCACCTTTAAATAATTAAATTTACACTGCTTTGGTGTACATGTTTTGCCAGCATTGCTGTGGAGCCTTTATACCCTCAAGTTTGCCAGAAGGTAGCTGTATTAAATCCAGTATCCGAGCGACAAGGCCCAGGGCCCACAGATCTTAGCAGAGCGCTAAATTCTGTTGTGTGCTCACTTGGATTTCGAAGAGACAGGCCCATTTCGCTTTTTCAACTTATTATGGAGGTTAGTCTCATCTTCGTCTCTCATCTTTACATACAATTTAAGTTTTTCTTATCTTTATTTCAAAGTTTTTAAAAATCTCGTATCCTGTTTAGGCTCGTCATTTCATGCAGTGTGTATGGAATTGTGTCCAATTTTGGGTTTGTTGTGGTGTGTCATTGAGCACTCTTCAAACACTTGCGGTGTTCCTCATGCTGCCTCCACTATTCACAACTGGTGAGCTGTTCTATTTTATTTCCTTACTGATCAGGTTTCCAAATGTGCTGTTACTCACTTCTGTTATATGTCTTTTTATTCTTGTTTCAGGCCAAGTTATGTGGTTTGTTTGTGTTGTCATTCCTGTGCTTTCCCTCTCTCTGGTCGGAAGTCCAACAGATCCTCAAGTAATGCAAAGACCTACTAGCAATAAACAAGGGGCAGTCATTTCTTCAAGAAGGGTAATTTTCATATCCAATGTCTGTCAACTATTACATCCTGTGAAATTAGCACATTGTCTTATTGTTGTTGTTTTACAGGTGGCTATTTTTGTTGTTTGGTGCTATGGAGCAAAGTTCTTACCAACTGTTGTTGTAGTATTGTTCTTATATGCAGTCACGTTGGATTCATTTTGTTTGCAATTGACTACGGGGCACAATACAACCTGTACAATGGTGTATCCATCAATTGAAGCGGAGGCTCCATTCAAATGGGGTGGTTGGGATGATCATTTCTTTGGTCTGCTCATAGCTCAGCATTTTTCAGTGATGGTGCTAGTACTTCATTTTGGTTAGTGACCTTGATAAATATTTTTTTTATGTCACAGAATTGATTTAGAATTCTGATTGAATCTTTGATTTTTCTCTTTCAGTGTGCATTTCTGTTAGCTTCGTACATCGAGAATATTTGTCATGGCATAAGTGGCCTCATAACAATGTGTGGTGGCTGTGCACTTCTTTCCTTGTGTGAGTGAACTGACCACTGATGTTTCAAGTTGGCTAAATCTTTGAGAACATTTGTTAATTTTATGCATTACTCATTTCAGCCTACTGCTTCAAGCCCTTTATTCAGTCTTGTATTTAGGGGCTATGTCACTTGAAGCACCCAAAGATGCTTCTCTTCTCTATGTACCCTGGTTCTCTATGGTTATTGCCCTTTTGTCACCACTAGTCATCTGCATGATAAATGAATTTGTCAAATGGGAAGAAATAAAGTGAGTATTTTTAAACATTTCCTTCAGAAAAGTGGCATACTGTTGTATTTGGTTGATCAGTTCTTTAGTAATCTTAAATTTTCTCTCTCAGGGCAAATGTACGATATCAGAAGAGGGCACGACTTGAATTTGGAACCAAGCTAGGAATGAACTCTCCCTTCTAGTGCCTAACAGTGAAGACTTTTGAATTCTGCAGTATGGCTGTACTAAGAATTAATTCTGAAATGTGCCGGGAGGGCCATTTCTTTGCCAATGTATTGTATATTCTTGTCAATGTTATATGGACTTTGATGGCTCTTGTGATAAAGACTTAAATGAAGGTGATTCTGCTTTACAAATGACTCTGTTACTAAAAGTGGAGAACCAATTAAAATAATCATGTTCCTAAATGGCCTTTTTCAAATGTTCAAACTTAAAAGATCGCTTCATGTTGCCATTAAGACTTAAGGTCCACTTGTTTGGAACTGATTTACTGTGAATACAAAGAAAAAGAAGTATTGTAGAACATTAGAGTATTGTACCTAATAGTTTTGTTTTTTAGTTGTTTGAAATTAACATATCATATTCAGCCTAACTAATTTAGGTAGGAGAAGAGATGTGTAGGCTGGACAAACAAAAGCAGTTTTGTGTTCAATAGATAAATGTGTACTTAAATCTGTATTTCTCATTGTTTTATTGTTGTTTTATTTTGTAAACTAATGTCACCACTTTTAAATTTGGAACAACTCCTTATCCAGAAAATGTAAGAAAGATTTGTCCTATTCTACTAACAGTTAAGGGTGTTAAGGACAAGACAGTCATTCATGCCATATCTTCACCTTAAGTACAAAACTGCCAATATTTGTTCTTAGTAAAGTGTTCTTAGTAAAGTGTTCCTATTTAGTGCGTACTGCCATAACAATTTTTTTTTGTTTTACAAAGATTTTAAAATAATTCAATTTGTGATGACCAACTCAGAAAAGAACTTGTCAACTGCCTCAGCGAAGCTATTGTTTGTCTTTCTTCGTTTGTTCCATTTGATTATATATCTGAAAGATGTCCATTTTATTATCTTTTTTCAAGTTACAGGATTTTGAAGTTATTGTTTATCACCTAGTAATCAATTATAAGGTAGACCGTCTCAGGCTGATCAAAGATTTTAATTGAGTTTTATTGTCTGTACTTATTTATTAGGGCTTGAGCAGCTTGTATATTTTTCTAAGACCCTCTATCACCTCATACTGGATATAATTATGATCTCTGTGTGATGCAAGCTTTTTGTTTGTTTCAATTACTTTCTTTTTATTATCATCTTTGTAAGCTTTAGTCATTAAATTGTGAACTTACAGTATTTAAAATAAAGACCAGGTCCTATCTGCATTACAATACGTAAATTGATGTAAACGTCTATTTTAAGTTTCTATTTCCTTTTCTGGAACCCTTTGTCATCCCTTCAAACTCGATGGACAAATGCTAACCCATGCCTGCTTTGTTTCTATTTTGTTTAATCGCATTCCATAACTTGGTACATACACTTCATGTAAGCTTGCTATGTTCTGTTTCATTCCTACTCAGTGTTCTTGCTTCGTATACCTCACTGTTGACATTGTGCATTCAAAGCTGTATGTTTATTTTTCCCTTGTGATAAATATATGCCATATACTAATTTAAAAAAAACAAAACAAACTGAAATTGCCTGATTGAATATTCCTTTGTGACTGCCTCTCATAAGTGCGGGCTCTGCTCTGCTGCCTCTATGTCCACCGAGGGGCAAAGCACTCACGTAACAGTCGGGTCACTCTGACCATAATAGAACGCGTAATATTATGCGTTACAGTAGGGTAATGGCCTTCATCCCGACAATTTCGAGGCGTAGTAGACACAGCAGTCGGGTCACAGGTTTTGAGAGCGATTCCCCCTCAATGTCCTGTCGCCCTGCCCACACAGATCTTGCCGCAAGTGGACTGATTCAGAGAATCGTTTTCGTCGCCCTGTCTCTCTCGCACCCATGGGGTAACGCGACGAAAACCGGCTTGACGGATGATCCCGAAGGATGTTCCCGTCTCGTCTTCCCTCTTCCCGTTACGCAATGCCGACCGCGCTTCCCGCGAGTCCCGATAGATGGCGCCGCCGTGCATCCCACCAGTGTGCTCGCAGCTCGCAGGCTGCGGGGCCGCGCGCGGTGACTCTCGCTTTTTGGCGGGTGTGTCGGCGGCTAGGCTCGTCAGCGGCGGGACTTCCCTGACAAAGGACTGGCGGGGCGGTCGTCCCTGTCGTCCCGGGCGGGTCGCGTCGCCAGGCGGGCCAGGCGGGCTGACCTAGGCCAGGCCCCGCGGCCCCGCCCTGCAGGCCAGCGGGCCCTGGGCTCGCGGGAAGGGAAGAGGAAGGGGGACACCTGTGCGCTGCGCGTGCGAATCGCGGACCCAAATCCCGGTTAGGACAACAACAAACAACGCCCCTTGCAGGGCCGCCTGCCCTGCGCCTGCCGGGGCCATGGCAGCCATAAGCCTGCAGACTCATTCCGAGAGTCGTTTTCGGCGCTCTGTCTCTCTAGCGCCCACAGGGGACGCCAAGGAAAATGCGAGAGAGACAGAGCAACGAGAACGATTCTCGGAATCAGTCTGCTGGCCTCGCTCTGCGCTCTGCCTGCGCAGTGTTTGGCCTGTTTGGCCTGGTCCGGCCGGAGTGGGAGAGCGGCACCTTCAATTCTCACGGAGCTGGGGCACTCCCTGCTCCCTGTCAATAGCAAGCAACAAGTACGCCCGCAGCCAGAGCTTTGGGCAGTTAAAGAATCATCACCATCCCGTGGCGCGCTGGACATGACGTAGTGCAGTGCAGCGCCACGCAGTGCTGCGCAGTGCCGGGTGGACGACTTTACGAACCCACAGTAGTAGTGCTCTCGTCTCCGTCTCTCTCGCACCGCCACGGAACGCCCCGCAGTGCGACAGAGACAGAGCAAATGGCTCCTTCCATTCTCACTGTCCAGCGTCCAGCGGGACTTTCGTTCAGCTCCTCTCCTCCACTAGTGTCACTCGGGATGCGGCTGTTGTTGTTTTGCAGCTGTTTCTGCGACTCGGGAGTTTGCACGTGGCAGCCAAAGCAGGCCATAGGCAGCTGTGGGCAGCCGAAGGAAAGGCAGCTAAAAGAGAGCCACACCGTCAAAAGAAAATGCGTTCTAGATACAACAAATGTTCCTGCCCGTTTCAGCCGCAACTTACCACCGTCAGTGGCAACAAACAAGCGACAAAGTGCACTGTTGCCAAGCAATGCTCTTTGCTGGCGGCAAGAACATTTCTTTGTTTCGAGAACACAATTTTTTGGGGTGAGCTTAAAGCATCTAAAAGCAGCCAAAGGCGTCCAAAGGCACGTTCGGTTCGATTGCCTCGAGGACGGCTTCGGATTAGCGCGGCGGGCTTCTTGTCACGGCTCGTCACGGCGCGGCTAGCATCACGCCACCAGTCGCGCTGACCAAGGCGACCTTCCCCGGAGGCAGCAGACTGACTCCGAGACTCGTTTTCGTCACTGTCTCTCTCGCGCTCATGGGGCGTCCCGTGCAGGTGCGAGAGAGAGAGAGAGAGAGAGAGAGAGAGAGAGAGAGAGAGAGAGAGAGAGAGAGAGACAGAGAGAGAGACAGAGCGACGAAAGCGACTCTCGGAATCAGTCTGCAGGCCGGCAGCGCGGCGGCGGTGGGCTGTACCGTATAGCAGCCGGAGTGAGTTGCCGCCGCCATGTCCTTCGCGGGGCCACCTGGCCCGACCTGGCCGGCGGCCCAGCGCCACCAGAAGGGCCATCGACTCGAATCGTTGTCGCGGCACGCGGAAAAAGCGCCGAGCTGGCGGTGGAAGCTGGCGGTTGTGAGTCGCCATCTGTTTTGTGTTTTGAATGCTCGTGGCGTAACTGCCCCCTCCCCATTTTTCCACTGTCCCACAATCCTTTTCCCGACGATTACTCATCAGCGTGCTCGTCAGCGTGACTTTGGCCTGTTGGGAGATTTCGATTTGCCGAGTCGCCGAGAGAGGGGTGCTTTTGATAGCATTGCAACTTTGAGGAGCGCCTCGGAAAGCAGACGTGAGCTTTTTTTCGGGCCCCGCGCGCACATCGCCCACGACAATGTCGCGTCGCAACGCCCTTCTATCTGCTGCACCCACTTGAGAGTCACGCGGAAGGCGGCGGGCCGCAGGACGCCGACGTCCATCGTCTATCGGCGAATTTAACGCGCCCAAGTGCGTCAACAGGAAATAGTAACAGGCAAACATGTTGTCGATGGGAAAACTTTTTCGGGCGAAATGCGCAGACAGGACAGCCGGGACAGCTGTGTGAACTGTGCGACTACACGACGCGACATGCACCGCAAGCGCGGTGCGCGGTGCGCCGCGGCGGCGCTGTGCAAGGACGCGCGAAAAAACGAAAACAAAAACAAGTTGATTTTTATTGACAGTGGCGCCGGTGCCCGCCCGGCCGACGAACGTGTGGGTAGCCGCGCGGGCACGTCCAAGAAGTGGGTCGCGGCCTCTCCGGTCGCGGCCATCCTCGCGAGCCGAAGCGCGAAACGAGACCAGCGCGGCGACGCGGGCAGCGCGGCGGGCAGCGCGTCGAGGGGTCAAGCGCAACGTCCTCTCTAGAGGCAGCCGCCAGAGGCACTCTCTAGTCTAGTGCCCTCTAGGCTGGCCGAGAGGCTCGGCGGGCGGAGGCACAGCGGCGGAGCTCGGCGGGCGGAGGCGGGTCTCTCTCGCGCCCATACATGGGACGCCCCGTGAGTGCGAGAGAGGCAGGGCGACGAAAACGACTCTCGAGGAATGAGTGTGCCGCGAGCAGGCTGCATGCTCGCGGAGTATGGAGCGAGGCAGCGGCGGCAACAGCGAGGTGGTGGTAAACGGGTAACGCCTCGCCGATAACCAATCGAGCAGGCCACGCGCGGTTCGCTCTGCCCTCCCGCTTGTTTTTGTTAGCCCGCGTACGCATGCCAGTGTGTGAGCGCGCGGATTGCCACAATGAGCTGCAGCCGCCCTTATCGAGGTGCGCGTCGTCGTCCGCGTCGCAGCCGACTGATTCCGAGAGTCGCTTTCGTCGCTCTGTCTCTCTCGCGCTCATGGGGCGTCACGTATGGGTGCGAGAGAGACAGAGCGACGAAAACGACCCTCGGAATCAGTCTGCAGCGTCGTCCGCGAGGAGCCCTGTGACGCGCCGCCGCTATCGGACCTAATCGGACCGCCTCCCGCGAAGCACCGCGAAGCCGCGGAACAACGGCCGCGGTGATAAGCGTATCAGTGTCGCGGACCGGGGGGCGGAGCGGGAGGGGGGGGGGGGGGGCCTTCAGGGTCCACACATATCACGCAACGCCCTCCGGGGTGAAGGAGGCGCGGCCCAGCGTTACGCTTTGTTGACTGATTCCGAGAGTCGTTTTTTGTCACTCTGTCTCTCTCGCACCCATACGGTGTGCCTCGAGGCACAGAGCGACGCGAACGACTCTCGGAATCAGTCCGCGGTGGTACAGTAGATTGCGGGTGAAACAGTGTAGCAACAGTGTACGTAGGACGTTGATGCAGGTGCTGCATTCGTACAGTGCAGTGCGATACACTGTCCAGTTTCTGGAAATGGCGTGGACCGTTCTCCACCCGTTCCGGCCGATCTTCCCATGAGTGCAAGCAGTGCAAGAGAGATGCATGCCGCCGCCATCTCTCTTGCCCTCACAGAGGACGCGAGGTCCGCGGTGCGAGAGAGAGCGTCGCGCCGTGAAGGGCGGCGCGGGGAAGGGACGCCAGGGCCAGGCCGCCAGGCCCTGCCGGAGCGAGCGCAGCGGAGCGCCCGACGAAGGCCGGGTAGGCAACCCGGTGGGCAGCGGAACGCGGCGGGACGGCCTAGCGGCCCTTGCAGGCTGATTCCGAGAGTCGTTTTCGTCGCTCTGTCTCTCTCGCACCGATACGGGTCGTCTCACGAGTGCGAGAGAGACATAGCGACGAAAGCGACTCTCGGAATGAGTCTGCTATGCCGACTGTAGCGTGCAGCATAGCTGCAGCCCGCTGCACTGCAAAGCGGAGCGGCTGGCTGATTCCGGACAGCACTCTCGTCGCTGTCTCTCTCGCACTCACGCCGCGTCCCGTAGGAGCGCGACAGAGACAGAGCGACGAAAGCAGTGTCCGGAGTGAGCCTGCGGCGCGTTGACGATTGGGGCCAGGCGGGCTGGGCAGGCTGGGCCGGGCTAGGCGGCGAGCCTAGAGGCCCTGCGGCCTGGCGAACCTCGCCCACGTCCCGACTCTCGACTCTCGACGGCGCCGAGGCCGCCGGGCCGCGCCGTCCTTCCTGGCAGCGCGCGATAGCGTGATCGAATCACAACATTACCGACCCACTTCGATAATGCGTTCAACATCCGAGCGAATTAACCCCCGCGTCGCATAATCCGGCCGCCGAGGTTTCTCTTTTCCCCACCGCGTCGTCGCGGCGGCCGCGGCGTGCAAGGTTGCCGTCTTATCGGAGGGGGGGGGAGGGGGCTGATGAACAATTTTCGTACCATGCCGAAACCGTGTGGCCCGGGTGTGGCGGTCACGTCGCGGTGCGCTCTGCACGCCAGCGGGAGTGATTCCGAGCGTCGCTTTCGTCACACTGTCTCTCTCGCACCTACAAGAGACGCAGCATGAGTGCGAGAGAGACAGAGCGACGAAAACGGCTCTCGGAATCAGTCTGCTGCG